GTCTTATTATGCGTTCCATCCCTCAGCTTTACAAAATTGGATATGTTAATTTATCTATTTAATTTATTATAATTCAGTTCTCTTATTTTAGAAAATCAAGAAGTCAGTTTAGTTGATAATATTTGAACTTGGAAGGCTATTTTTTTAATTTATTACATATAATTTGTTAAATTGTTGATTTTTACTAGTTCCTTACATAAATTCTCGTTTTATTAATTACCAAGTCGGTGATTAAAGTGAATTTTTAATAGTTTTATATAATTAAATTAATATCTCAATTTTAGTAAAAATATAAAAATTAAATCTTAACAAAATAAAGTGAAGTCTTATTTCTCAACTTTTTATAAATTAATGGGTAAAGTTTATAATTAAACTAAAACAACAACAAAACCCTATTCTCATATGCAATGAGGTAAGATGAGGTATGGTAGTAGGTTGTCCCAACGCCAGGTTGAGAGCAACTTTCGTGGATATAATTAAACTAAAAGATAGGAGTAATATTTATTGATAAAATCTAATCGAAGAAAGTATCTTTTTAAAAAAATAATTTTTTTTTATCCAAGTTAAAGCCATAAGTTCAAGTTTCTCAAGGGTCACAATCAAAGAAGTTAATGCGCACTATTACATTAATTTTTAGAAATATACTATGAAAAATATGAATAACAATAATATTGGCAAATCTATTAAGAATGTAATATGAAGCTTATTAAAAATATAAAAAATAAAGCCAAAATGGTCAATACCTATAGCGCCATTTTTGTAACAAACGCCACAAAAGGTCAATACCTATAGCGTCATTTTTGGAACAAACGCCGCAAAAGGCCAGATCTATAAAGGCGTTTTTGGAACAAATCCTGCAAAAGGTCAGATCTATAGCGTCCTTTTTGGAATAAACGCTGCAAAAGATTGAGATCTATAGCGGCATTTTTGGAACAAACACCGTAAAAGGTCAGATCTATAGCGATGTTTTTGGATACAAACGCCGCTAATTACCTTTCTTTAGCTAAGATTAATTGATTTTAATGATGATAAATCTCGATGTAGTTTAATTAACGATGTATGAGGGGATTTATAAGATTTAGTTTATTGAAACTTAAGGAAAAACAATATATGTGCAATATATCGGCTTTTACATATATTAATGTAATTGACTTCATCTTGATTTTCTTGCAAAGAATTTGTTGAACTTCCATGGCATCCTATTTGGTAAGGAAGCAAAACATGATGATATGATCAGTCTTTTGCCCGATTCCATTCTAACTCGCATCCTATCGCCGATCGTTTCCCACCAAAGATAAAGTTTCCACCTCCATTCTATCAACCAAACGGTGATATTTGTCTGCCTCATTGTTTAATCTTGATGTTAATTTTTCACATATTTAGCCGTTCTCCTCCCCATATTGTCATATCGACAAATAAGGGGTCGATGCTTCACGTGTTTGTGGATGGATATCCGCTGCACTTTGGCTCGGAGTTAAGGATTTAGATTTGGTTTTTGAAGACAAAATTCCCATGTTGCCAACTGCTCTGCTTTTCACCTGCGAGACGCTGGTGAGATTGAAACTGGACATCCCATTTGTAATGAGTGTTCAAGCTGTCCTGTACTTGAAGACTTATCCATCTATAGCTGTGACGTGCAAAACATAACGAGGGCTACAAAGCAAAAAGCTATTCGATGGTAAACATGCCTTGTCTTGTTGAAGCTGATGTTAACATTTACAGAGGATTCAGCTCTTTAAGAGAAGGATTATTGAGTTTTTTTCAAGGAATTGGAAACGTCAAGTCACTTCATTTGACTCTCCATCCGCAAGCAGTGAGTCAACTGATTATCCATTATCGATGCTGTTAGTCATGCTATGATCTTTAATATGCATGATAATCCAAAAATATTAATACATACATAAACATGGTTTTTGATATACGATCATGTGGTTAACGTAAAACAATAATCAATTTGTTAAACTAGGGTGATTGCAAGTGATAGTATTTGTTCTAGAGACTCTCAATCATTTGACAATAAATGTTTAAATATCCTATAATCGTTGATGCTCAAATGATTATGAGCGTACTTATATTAATTCTTATACTTGCCCTTAAAATATATATATATAATAATTAGTTATATTTAATTTATCAGTTTACAAATGTTTTATTTAAAAAAAAAAGAGAAAAAACAAAGTTGATATATAAGGGGATTTATAAGATTTAGTTTATTGAAACTTACCAAAAAAGCAAAGGAGAAAGCCCTAAGTTAAAGCCATAACAAAACCGTCCTCCGTCTGGCCACTTCCGTCGCCGGCTCTCCGTCCGTCGCTCTCGTCTGTTGCTGTCTATTTATAAACAGGTTATTAAATTCCTGTTTCTAACAATAGAATTTGTGTGTATATATATATATACATGTGTGTGTAAATATATTTGTGTGTGATAGAGATTAGAAATATCAGCATTTACATATATTAATGCGATTGACTTCATCTTGATTTTCTTGCAAATAATTTGTGGTTTGTTTCTATTATAATAACACTGTGGCTTTTGGGTTTGAAGGTAATCTCCATACTTCTTAGATGAACCCTTGAGCAGCGATTATACTTGGCTCGAGTTGTCACACCCTAGTTGTTATGGGCTAAATTGAAATATTTGAAAATAATAATGCTTAAGCATTAATTTCTGGAAGTTCAGGGGCTTAGGGCACAATTGGCCCATGGTTGGGTTTAAAACCTAAAATTAATTCCTTTTTCCACTCTTCCCCGTGTCATGTGAAATCACTTTCTCCAAACAATTTATTTTTCTCTCTAGTGTTATTGTGTTTTCCCTCCGTTTGGTCTTCGTTTCGACCGCCGTGACTCTCACCGTCAGCTTCTTTGTGTCCATCTCATTGTCGCCATTCGCTCGATACCCTTGTTTCGTCGTTTTTCATTACTGTTAGCTTCGGGGTGAAGGACTTTAGTTTAGGGTTTTCAAAGAAATTCAATTTCGTCGCTCTTCGATACAAACCGACCTCGTTAAGTTGTTCCTCGTGTTTTGAATTAATGTTCTAGAAATTTTGGTGCAAAAACCACCGTTGGACGACGTCCCACATGCACTCACGTGTCGCCATGCGCGTGTGGGACTGTCCAGGCGATTTTAAATTCAAAAACGGCTGAACCGGTTTGTTGCTGGACCGAACCGGTTAAACTGATTAACTCGTTGACCCGACCATTGACTGTTGACTTTGACAGTTGACTTAGACCATTGATTTTTTTTTTGAAAACCCCTATCCTTATCTTTTTCGATGTCCTAAGTCCGTTTTCACAGTTCGTTTGGTCAAATTCTAACCCGAAACCCATGTTTTACCTCGTTTTCCGTATTAAATCTTATTTATGTTAAGTGAAGTGTGGGTTTTTGAATTCACTTTTGGGTTTAATTTTCTAAAGGTACCCTCGCATCTCTGGAGCGCTATCCAGTTGACCCTGATCAATCCCGCCCTCATCATTTTGATTCCAGTCACTCGCCCTGAGATACACTTGAGTATTAGATTGGTATTTTAAGGCATATTATGTTTAGTGGTTGACATATGTATTTATGGTAGAGTACTATTTTAGGTTCTCGATCCGCAAGACCTAGTACTAATGACTGTGGGAAGCGTAAGGCTTAGCTGACATCGATTATCTTCTTTAAGGGTGTCTTCTTTACCTAATTCATACTCAGATATTTTAGACTGTTATGTTAATATTTCTACTTAAAGTATGTTTGTAATTTGGTTGCACTTATCTGCATCATTCATATTTTTGAATAATGTTGCACCACTTTTTATTTGCTTATTGATGTAGTTTCAATCTGCATGAGATTAATTCCCCGTTCTGACATCTCCATGGGATTAATTCCATGTTTTGACATCTGCATGAGATTAATTCCCCGTTCTGACATCTGTATGAGATTAGTTCCTCGTTTTGACATCTGCATGGGATTAGTTCCCCGTTTTGACATATGCATGGGATTAGTTCCCCATTTTGACTTTTGCATGGGATTAGTTTCCCGTTCTAACATCTACATGGGATAAGTTCCCCGTTCTGTTTATCTGCAGCGAAAGGTAAAGTAGGGTGCCATTGGTGCTGCTTTTTGTTCATTAAATTCGGATTTAATGTTATACTTTAATTGTAGTGCATATGCTTAGATATCTACTTTACTTTAAAGGGCACACTAGGTTTCGTAGCTCATTTTTTAGTTTTTGTTTTTTCAAATTTCTCAGACGTTTAGTATTTACGCCCTAAAAATATCTTTTAATTTGTAGCAATTTTTTGTGACTATTGTCCCTAATTTTCTCTTTATGTTTAGTGCATTGTAATTCTAATTTATTTTATTATTTTTATTAATGAAATCCAATTGCTATCGCTAAAATAATATTTTAGCTTTCCATAACTATAAATTAAGCCCACCCGAACTTAACCTCTCATCAAGCCCGTCAACAATAGCATTTTACTCGCAAATTAATCATCCTCAAGTTTAGGATGAATATTTGATGATACAATTATCATATTTGGTAATGCTTTTAAAAAAATATGGTGAAAAGTACATTTTTAAAGTGTTTTTGGTTTTTTTAATTAAAAAAAACATGATTGAAACTTAGAAAAACATAGGAAAACCCTAAGTTAAAGCCATAAAGAACCCTCCTCCGTCTGGCCACTTCCATCGCTGGGTTCTACGTCCGTGGCTCTCGTCTGCTACTGGTTTGTAAATTCCTGTTTTTACCAATGAAGTATATATATATGGTTGTTCTTGTTTTGTTCTCATATATTTGTGTGTGCGTGAGAAAGAGAGATTAGGAACATTTGCTTTTACATATATTCATGCAATTGACTTCATCTTGATTTACATGCAAAGAATTTGGACTGTGATTTGTTTCTATTATACTGCTTAGATGAATCTTTGAGCAGCGATAATACTTGGCTCGAGTGCTTGCTTGGTCTCAGTGAACTATTCCTTATAAAACTATTCACTGATATTGCTCTTTTCATTTGTCCTTATAAGGTTGACGATATGGTTAAGAAAGCAAAGCATGATGATATGCTCAGTAATTTGCCCGATTCCATTCTCAGTCGCATCCTATCGTTGCTTCCCATAAAAAATGCAGTTTCCATTTCCATTCTTTCGACCAGATGGCGATATCTGTCTGCCTCATTGTTTAATCTTGATGTTAATTTTTACTTATTTATGCGTTCTCCTCCACATATTGTCAAGAGCTTCACGAACTTCATGGATAAACTATTGTTTTTCCATGCTGAGGAAAGGATCCAACAATTCCGACTCAATCATACCTACATATCGGGGATCGATGATTCACATGTTTGTCGATGGATATATGCTTCACTTTGGCGCGGGGTTAAGGAGTTAGATTTGGTTTTCTATAACTTCTACAACATGTCTATGTTGCCTACTGCTCTTCTTTTTACCGGCACGACGCTAGTGAGATTGAAACTGTACATGCCATTTGTAATGACTGTTCCGATTTATATTTGTTTGCCTAACCTCAAGACCTTGGAGCTTCGATCTATTAAATTTGAAGACGATGATTCAGTCAAAAGACTCTTTTCAAGCTGTCATGTACTTGAAGACTTATCCATCTTCGACTGTGACATGAGAAACATTACGTGTCTTAAAATCTCAAACCCTTCACTTAAGAGTTTGACTTTAGTGTTTAAATATTTTATTATGTTCGGTTTGTATGCCATTGTCCTTGATCTTCCAAGTCTTGCCTACTTCAAATACGACGGCCACAAAGCTCGAAACTATTCCATGGTAAACATGCCTTATCTTGCTAAAGCTGATATTAATATCTATGGAGAATCCGGTCCTATAGAAGAAGGATTAGTTGAGTTTTTTCAACAACTTGGTAACGTCAACTCACTTCATTTGACTCTTGAACCGCAAGCAGTGAGTTAACTGATTATCCAGCATTGACGGTTTTTAAGTTTTATTAATCTCCTATTTGACCATTATTACTTTTATGTGCAGCTTCCAGTTTTGTCCCACAAACGTTTTGACGCATTTGGAAACCTGCTTCGGCTGCAAATTGTTAATTGGAGCAACGACGAATGGGAAGGAGCATGGCTTCTCGAGTTCCTCGAACTCTCACCTAATCTGCAAACTCTTGTTATTCGTAAACTATCAAAGCAGGTACACACACAAACATATATATATTGATATGTAGTTTAAAATAAAAGCTTCTAACATATTTTTGTTCTTTGTCGGGCTCAGGTCTCGCTTCCAATGGAGAAAGTGCCTTCATGTGTTGTATATCAGCTCAAGGAGTTTAAAGTAATAGATTTTGATGAAAAGAGTTCCCTGTTTAATTTGGTTACTTATATACTGAAGAATGCAGCGGTTCTTGAAAAGCTCATTATATCAACCTCTAAACTCATGATGATCGAAGAGAAATTTAGGATCACTAAACAACTGTTGAATTTACCCATGTGTTCAAACAAATGTCGAGTTATAGCTTTTTAACGTTTCTTGTTTGATCACTTTTTGTAAATGATTGAACCTTTGGTTCTTATCTTGGTTCCAATCCCTCTAGTATACTAAATACTTGAATGCTGTTATTTATTTTTAATTTGAAATAATCTGGTCCTTCTAGTTTTGCAATATATAGCAAGTTCAAATTGATTGCGATAAAGTGATGATAACATCACCTTCTGACAATGATTTTGAACCTTTGATTTGAAATTGTGACACGATTGTTATGATTTTTGGTATATTTTTCGTATATTTTTGCAGTTGATTTGATGTTTACAAAAAAAAACATCACGATATTTATTTTCTGATTAGTTTGTCGGTGGTTACGTATAGTCAAAACCCCTCATTGATAAAAGGTTGTTTGTCGATATAATCGGAATGATGCAATGGAGCATCCTGTCAGATAATTTGATTCACTCACTACTCCTTTATCACTTCGTAAAGTGTCTCGTTCGACAGAGACAAAAAGTTTTTATGAAGGTTATTAGATTCTTTTTATGTTGATTGGCATTTTTAATGTAAGGTTCTGTTTTTCTTCGTATCTTTAGGTTTAATATTTTTATGTTTGTATTAGTTTTTGGTGACTGTTATCTCTAATTTTCTTTTTATATTCGATGTGTTGTAATTCTGATTCATTCTATTATTTTTAACGATGAAATCCGGTTTTCATTTTTTAAAAAAAAAGATTTTAGCTTTCCTTAACTACAAATTAAGCCCACCAGAAATAAATTAACCTCTTATCAGGCCCGTCAATAGCATTTTGCTCACCCTTTGAATAGTTCAGATTCTTTCCCTCTTAGTTTAAACATCTCACGCACAAATTTACTCCATCTTTCTTTCCCATATTTCATCATATGATATCAGTATGACTGCTCATCTCCAACAACCCTATACTACTATATACACCCATTTCTAATTAATCATGCCTCAAGTTTAGGATGAATATTTGATGATATAATTATCATTATTTGGTAATGCTTTTGAAAAATATGGTGAAAAAGTACATTTTTAAAGTATTTTTGGGGGGTTTCATTATAAAAAAAAACCTTATTGACACTTAGAAAATGGCTAAATCAACGAGATAATGTTGTTGGAAAAAAATTTCACGAGATAAAACGTTCCAACAATTAATTGCCGAGATAAGGTGAAATCTACAGTTCGAACATATGTCGCTAGGCGCTCATGGCGACCAAGGAGGTCGTCATGTTGTCCCTGCTAGCTGTGGTGAGCTACTGCATTACATATATCGGTAATTAGGCTTTTACCCGAAACCCCAGTTTGGTCGCCGGATCACATGACGACCTATAAGGTCACCCGACATACATGGCGACCTCCATTTCAGCCTAGTTAAAAAACCTAATTACCGATGTAGGTAATCGTTGTTACTTGGGGGGAAATTTAGGTAATCGCATGAAAGCCTAATTACTTATGTAGGTAATATTTGTTACTTAGCCTCAGCGTGTTGAGACGTGCATGGCACATGCAAAATCTCTCGTAACTCGCCGGGAAGAAATGGCGACCTAGTAGGTCGCCATGGGCGACCTACGACCAACACTGTGGATTTCACCATATTTGAGCAATTAATATAGGGAGTGCATTATCTCGTGAATTAATTTATTCGAGAACATTATCTCGAAAATTTTGCCCTTAGAAAATCAAAGGAAAAAACCCTAAGTTAAAGCCATAAAAAAACACCCTTCACTCCGTCTGGCCACTTCCATCGCTGGGCTCTCCGTCCGTCGGTCTCGTCTCTACTGCTTTGTAAATTCCTGTTATTACCAATGAAGTATATATATGGTTGTTATAATTTGTTTGCATGACATGGAAAAGCTTATGTTTTTTATTTCTTCGTTTTGATTACTCTTTAACACGCACATATATTTGTTTTACAAATATTGAAGTATAAGAACAACATCCTTCCATACATACATACACACACACATATACATATATATATATATATATATATATATATATATATATATATATATATATATATATATATATATATATATATATATATGCAAAATTTTGAAAAAAACAGAAATTTACTAACCTTTTTATAATTGCACAGCAACAGAAAGCGACGGCCAGAGTGCAACAGAAACCGAAGGACGAAGAGCGCAGCCAGAGAGGGTTTTATTTTTCTTTTTTCTTTTTTTTAATTTCACAGAGAGTTTTTTTAGTCTCTTTTTTTAGGTTTTGATTAATAATATCTATTTTGCCGAGCAAAAAATATATTTTAAATTTTAAATGATATAAAATATTATCTAATAATTATAAAATAATACTAAAAATACTATTTGTTTAATTATAAAATTCAATATATTAGTATATTTTTCATATAATATTTTATATTATAAAATTAAGAAAAATCGTATGCCTTGTCAGGCTCCTGCTATAAGCATATTTACATATATTGACAAGTAGGGTGCTGAGCTTCATTTGCAGGGCTAAACAAGGATAAGAGAATACTTTTTAAATAGTTTTAATTCACAATTTGGCCCTCCAAGTATATATGTCTTTCACTTTGTACCTTAAACTTTTTTTCTCATTTTGCCCCTTTAAATATTATTGTTCTTAAACTTTGCCCCTTGAAATGACCATCCAGCTCAGTTGGTAGAGTACAAGGTTCTTAACCTTGAGGTCGTGGGACGGAGGGCATTTCATAATTCGAAAGTCTTCTACAGAAACTGCTCTCAACCTGGTATTGGAAGCAACCTACTATCTTACCTCCCTCTTACCCCATACATATGAAAAAAAAGGACATCCATTTTTGATTTATTGGTTAAACTTTGTTCTCTCATGTCATCTTAGGTTATAGATTCTAGACCCACTAGGAGCACTCTTTTTCCTTTCCCTTAGATTCCCTCCTTCCCCTTCCCTCCAGACATAATTATATTGAGAATTTGTTAACAAGAAGTATGAGTTAATTATGTATTTTATTTTACCTTATTTAGGGTGTTATTATCTACTGTCTAGTGGTATTTTGCCTTATTTAGGGTATTTTACCTTATTTAGGGACGAGTTAAAAATAGTTTCTCCAATTAGTTTATCTTGACTTTTTTTTCCTGGGTAAAATAAGATTTATTATAAACGATTCGAATGAAACCAAATCATATTTCTCGTTAAAAATTTCTCTAATCCTAAATAGAAGAGAAGAGTACATACATTTCGGACAAAACAAACATGAACACTCAAACAAACAGAACTTAGGGTCTGTTTGTTTCCCGTAATTAGAATTACGGAATTGGTTTTCCCCGAATTCTCGTGTTTGTTTCACGTAATTCGTTTTCTGGAAAATGTTTTCCCGTGTTTGTTTTACGTAATTCGTTTTCCGGAAAATGTTTTCTCGTGTTTGTTTCACGTAATTCATTTTCCGGAAAATGTTTTCCAGTGTTTGTTTCACGTAATTGGTTTTTCTGAACGTAATTCATTTTCTTAGTAACAAAATTTCCTTTTTGTTTTCTGGAAAATGACTTACGGATTCATTTTCCGTAAGTCATTTTCTGAACTTTTCACTTCAAAGAATAAATATTTAAAATAATTTTATTTTATGAATTTAATATTAATAAAATATTTTAATATCATTTTCATCAAAATATTATTTATTAATTTATTAATATTTATAATAATATAATATTATATTTTTAATATTATATAAAATAATAAATTATATTATAATATAAGATATTATATTTTTATTTTAATAATATATAATAAAAAAATTATATATTTAAATAATATTTTAATAAAGATATTTAAAATATACTAATTAATATTTTTAAAATATAATATGACACTATTACTTTAATAAATAATTTATAATATTTTTATTTCACTAAAATATACAAAAATTAATATTTTTAATTAATTATAAAAATACTATTTAATAATAAATAAATTATTTTTAATAATAAAAAAGTTTTATGATAAATAATATTATTTATTGTATTTAATATTTGTAATAAATAATTTTTAAAAACTCTTCAACTAGTGGAAAAAAAGGTTTAAATAACATTTTCCAAACATCATAAAACGTTTTCCAAATATTTTTCAGAAAAATGTAATTTATTTTACGGAAAACATTTTTCGGAAAACGTTTTCTAGAAATGTAATTCATTTTCCAGAATTCAAATTCCAGTAATTCATTTTTCAGTAATTCAAATTCCAGCCAGTAATTCATTTTTCGAAAAACCAATTACAGCCAAACAAACATACCCTTATAAGTTCACGTCAAACATGGTGCATCTTCACCTACCAAACTTGGTTCAACAGAAATTTCGTAACTTGACACTTGTTTGAGTACTCAATAGTTGGCAAATGAAAATATCAATAGCATGTTTTATATAAGGAAGAGTTGCGCAATGAATCGAAAAGCCTGATACAATAACTGCTGGTAAGACATAAATTTTCACCGAACAAACACGATTGTGTTGAGCATTTGAAATCAAAACCAGAGGATCAAAATCCTTCTCACATTAGAAAGCCGTAACTTGACATTTGTTTGAACATCTGGGTAAACTCAATAATTGTTTGATGATCTTCAATTCTTCTCTGGGCATTAAAACTTTAGATGTACATATTGTAAGCTTCTCAAGAACTGCTGCATTCTTCAGGATGTAAGTGACCAATATAAATAGACAACTCTGGTCATCAAAATCTAATACTTTAAACTCCTTTAGCTGATGTACAAGACAGGAAGGCACCTTCTCCATTGGAAGCCAGGCCTAAAACCCCAAAAAAAAATAGACCCTTCAATTTTAAACTACATATCAACATATTTGTCATTATATATATACCTCGTTTGATGATACTTTATAAATAACAAGAGTTTGTAGATTAGGTGAGAATTCAAAAAACTGGAGAATCCCTCGTCCTCGATATGCGTTTCTCCAATCCATAATATCCAGCTTAAGTAGGTTTTGAAATGCAGCAAAACTTTTGTGGGATAGATATGGAAGCTGTGCATAAAAGTTACATCGGTCAAATAAAAGAATAGTAAAACTTAAAAAGCATCAATACTGGAGATTAAAAATGGCAAATTAACTCACTGCTTCAGCATTGATACTCAAATGAAGCGACTTGACATTGTCAATTCTTTGAAAAAGCTCAACTAAACCATCTATTTCTCTTGTCAAACAGATTCGTCCATGAATCTTAACATCAGCCCTAACAAGAGACGGCATGTGTAGCGCTGAATAGTTTATTTTTGTGAAGCCCTGGTATTTGAAGTAGACAAGACTTGGAAGATCAATGTCAATGGAAAACGCTAATGAGGAGAAGCTATTGACTTTAAGGTTATCAATAAAAACCAAAGTCAAGCTCGTAAGTGAAGGATTTGAGATTTTAAGACACGTTATGTTTCGCAAGTCACAGTCGAAGATGGATAAGTCTTCAAGTAAAGGACAGCCTGCAAAGACCCTCTTGATTGAATCATCATCTTCAAATTTAACAGATCGAAGCTCTAAAGTCTTGAGGCTAGGCAAACGAACATGAATCGGAACAGTCATTAAAAATGGCATGTCCAGTTTCAGTCTCACCAAGCTCTTGCTTGTAAATAGCAGAGCTGTTAGCAATGTAGGAATGTTTATGTACTTGCCAGCAAAAACCATATTTATCTCCTTAACTCCAAGCCAAAGTGCAGCAAATATCCATCCAAAAACACGTGAATCGTCGATCTCTGATATGCAGATATGATAGAGTCGAAATTGTTCAATCCTTCCCTCAGAACGGAAAAATAACATTTTATCCATGAAGGTTGTGAAGCTCTTAATATGTGGAGAACGCCTAAATAAACGAAAATCAACATCAAGATTGAACAATGCGGCAGACAAATATCGCCATCTGGTCGATAGAATGGAAGTGGAAACTGCATTTTTTATGGGAAGCGACGATAGGATGAGACTGAGAATGGAATCGGGCAAATTACTGATCATATCATCATGCTTTGCTTTCTTAACCATTTCCGATGCCATGGAAGTTCAACCTTTTAAGGACAAATGAAAAGAGAAATGTCAGTGAATAAGTTAAATAAGGAAGAGTTCAATGAGACCAAGCAAGCACTAGACCCAGGTATAATCGCTGCTTAAAGATTCATCTAAGCAGTAACAAATGACAGTCCAAATTTTTGCAAGAAAATCAAGAAGAAGTCAATTGCATGAATATATGTTAAAGCTGATGTTCCTAATCTCTCCCTCTCACGCACACACATAAATGAGAAAAAAAAACAAGAACAACCGTATATATACTTCATTAATGGTAAAAACAGGAATTTACTAACCAGTAGCAGAAGAGAGCGACGGACGGAGAGCCCAGCGATGTTGGTGGCCAGACTTTATGGCTTTAACTTAGGGTTTTTCCTTTGTTTTTCTAAGTTTCAATAAGGTTTTTTTTTATAACAAAAAAACCCAAAAACACTTTAAAAATGTTCTTTTTCACCATATTTTTTTAAAGCATTACCAAATATGATAATTATATCATTAAATATTCATCCTAAACTTGAGGCGTGATTAATTAGAAAGGGGAGTATAGTAGTAAAGTATAGGATTGTGGGGGATGAGCATTCATATTGACATCATACGATGAAATATGGGAAGGAAAGATGGAGTGAATCTGTACGTGAGATATGTTTAAATTAAGGGGGAAAGAATCTGACCAATTCAATGCGTGAGTTAAATGCTATTGACGGGCTTGAGGAGAAGTCAAGTTCCGGAGCAAATTAGGCACTTCCTATGGCTCACATCTTGTGGAAAATTACTGTCCAACCTTCGTATGACCACAAACTGGGCGCATCACTACGTCTCCTCCCAGCTTCCCACGAGCATCATCCCTGTTCGGTCGGCCATGGATCAAATTCAGTGGACACCAGCAGCTCCTGGATGGACCACCCTCAACGCTGACGGGGCCTTTAATCATTCATCCAATATCGGCACTGCCGGAGGACTCATTCGGAGCCACGATGGAGACAGGTTAATAAGTTTCAACAAGCACCGATCGGCATATCAACCATTCTTGAGACTGAACTTTGGGGGATTTATGAAGGACTCAACCTCGCCAACTGCTGCCTCGAGTGCCCTCTCTCTCGTCCGAGCCATCAGTCGAATCAGAATGCATGCTTGGTGTGCTGATTTCTCTCACATCAAAAGAGAAGCGAACTTTGCAGCAGACTCGATGATTAAAATCCCGACCAATCTGGATGGCACAACTCGCATTTTCTCAGAAGACTGCAAGGGTCCCCTTATATATGGAACCTTAATCCCATGGAGTAAGGCTTTGTTGCCTCCTTTCTATTAAAAAAAAACATTTTAGTAATGCTTTCACGAATACGCTTAAACATGTTCTTTAACTATTTTTATCTATTTGTCAATAAAAATTCAGATTAGAATTTTGATCATTTAAATTATGTTTGAATCTGCACACGATTATACTTCTATTATTAGATATTGATTAAGAATAAAATCTAATAATTTAAACACCTTGAGCTGATATAAAAGACATGAAGGCACTTTTCCCATCGGAAAAAAAAAACCTAAACCAAGCAAATAAAAAACATGTTAGAAGCTTTAATCTTACACTGCATATCAACATATTTGTCATTATATGTTTGTGTGTGTACCTGCTTTGATGCACCACGTATAACGAGAGTTTGCAGATTAGGTGAGAATTCATGAAACTCAAAAAGCCACGTTGCTGTCCATTTGTTCCTCCCATCAATAATTTCCAGCTGAAGCAGGTTTTGAAATGCAACAAAACGTTTGTGGGACAAAACTGGAAGCTGCACATATAAGTTGTAAGAGTTTTTAATAAAACTTAAAAAAGGCACCAATATTGGAGAATAAAAATGGCAAATTAACTCACTGCTTACGGATAGATGCTCAAATGAAGTGACTTGACATTGCTGATTCCTTCAAATAGGTCGACTAAACCATGGGGACGGTATCTTGCACTTACAAAGCTTCCACCACAGATGTTAATGTCAGCTCTAACAAGGTAAGGCATGTTTACCATTGAATAGGTTCTTGCTTCGAAGCCCTCGTAGTTTAGATAGACAAGACTCGGAAGATCGATGAAAATGGCAAACGTTGAGGATAATGGAATGAATTTAAGGAGATAACCTTTCAAAACTAAATTTAAACTCATATGCGAAGGAATTGAGATATTAAGACACCTTATGTTTCGCATGTCACAGTCCAGGATGGATAGGTCTTCAAGTATAGGACAGCCCGAAAAGAGCCTCTTGAATGAATCACCATCTTCAGGTTCAATAGATTGAAACACCAAAGGTCTTGAGGCTAGGCAAACAAACATGAATTGGAACACTCGTTACAGATGAAATTATATGTTTAATTATTCATTTTTTAAGTAAATGAAATTATTTGTCCCTCAACTTATAAATTAAGGGATTCATCTAGCATTTTGAAGTCCAAGCGTAGTTCGACTTATACTCTTCTTAAAAAAAAATTATGTTGTTAAAAAACAATTCAAACCAATTTATCTCAGTGGTTTAAAAAATCGTTATTGTTCTTAGAGGTTAAGGGTTCGAGCACTAGAGGGTTGCAGTAGGGTGATTGAGTATTCATTGTCAAATGGTTGAGAGTATTTAGAATAGATAATATGTTGTAATTACCTTAGCTATAATAAAAAAATATATGGTAAACTATGCATATAGTACCTAAACTACTAGTTTTTGTCCATTTTAGTACCTAAACTTTAAAAAAAAATCAAAATTTAATGTTAAATTTTGAATAGAGCGAGGTATTAAAATGAAACAAAAACTAAATTTAGGTATGATTTTGGAAAAAATTGAAAGTTCAAGTACTAAAATGGATTAAAACTAATAGTTTAGATACTAAACATATAATTTATCACAAAATACATCTAACGTTTTAATTAAATAGTTATTTTAGTCTATGTTCTCATTTTCTAAAATTTTCTGACAGTACTTTATTTTAAGGTAAAAATATTCTTAACATTTAATTAAATAGTCATTTTATCTCTCTTTTTTTAGAATTTTGACTTCAACATTTCATTTTATGATAAAAATGCTCTTATTTTGAAACATTGATTGTTTGTTGATTAGCAAATTTTGTCAACAAAGATATATTTTTGTCTCAAAATAAGAGCATTTTTATCGGAGTGATTATTTAATCGAACATTATATATATTTTTGTTATCATTATACCTAAAAAATAATAAGAGTAAAACGTGTTGCCCATAGCAATTCGCCAATGACCGTGTCAATTTTAATGTTGGTTGTCGACTATCGGTAATTATTAGTTATCTTTCTTACACTATGTCATTTGTTTTTTTCTTTCTTAAGATTTTTTTTTAATTTTAGAAAAGAATTTATATCTATGTGACATGCTTTTATTTTATCTTGTGACACGTGTTTCCTCTGCTCTTGTAGTACGATTTTTATGATTTTTAGTACGTTTTTCGTATAACTTTACATTTGTTTTGTTGCTCGCATAAACGGTATTTTTTTCTGATTGGTTTGTTGGTGGTCAGGTATAGTTAGATCCCCTCTTTAGTAAAAAGGTTGTTTGCCAATAGAATCATAATTGTATAGCGAAGTAGCATGTCGTATAATTTAGTTCGCTTGTTACTCCTTTATTATTCCGTAAAGCGTCTCATTCGACACAGACGTTAATCATTATTCTCAAAGGCATGCTTCGTTTTTCTTCGTATTTTTGGACTTAAATTTTATTTTTGTATGAATTTTTTTTATAACTATTATCTCTGTTTTTCTCTCTATAATTGGGTGTGTTGTAATTCCAATTGTCTCTTTTCCTTTTATTAATAAAATTTAGTGGATGTTAACAAAATTATTGTATAAACTATATACAAATTTAAGGTTTTAGAATTTCATGCATTTTGATGTAATTATTTTATAATCCTTTCAATATATTTTTATTATTTGGAGTGTTTTATCCTAATTAATTCAAATTGACTCGTATTGTACATTTGATTTTGGTTGACGAGTCTTTAAACGAAGATTTTTTTTAATTCGAATTCAATACCTACTTAGACGATATTAAACTGTTAACTACTTGAATCAATTGCGTTGGTCTTCTCATAGTTTTTTTCATTTATTTTTTATGTTTCTTTTATATTTATTTTTTATTATTTTATTATATATAATAAAATTTATTATAATTTATATCAAATTGATTAAAAAAAACGTTAAAAGAAAACCATCGATAAAAGAATGTTGAAGTTATTTTAAGTACCGAAATGGCACAAAATTATATACATTTTTAGATAGTAAAATTTTGTGCTACTGTCTCCTAGTCAATTTCAGTTATTTTTATCAAATAATCTTGAATTTAATAAATTTCTTTAAATATTTTCAATTCATATATCGAAAAAATAAATTAAGTTTATTACTTAATTTAAATATATTTAGGTTATATTATTTTAATTTCACATTATACAGTCAATATCTTTATTATTTTTATATCGTATTCCATTAGTGCAAAATTACGAAATATACCCTCATCTCTTTTTTATTTTATTTTTGTTGGCCAACTCATCCTCTTTTTCATTAAATCTTTAAGATTTAAATTTTTGAATTAAAAAAGAAATCAAAATCCTCATTTCGTTGTGTTTAGATCTCAGCTTTACCCTTACTCCATCACTTTTCTCAAAACTCAAATTCTTTGAATTCTCTCTCTCTCTCTTTCTTCATCAATTTACTTTCAATGCATGCAAGATCCAATCTTTCTCCACCAAAAAAAAGAGAGAGATAATTTTTGGAATGATTTCATTTCCTCATAAATCCCATTTATTTGTTTGTTTCAGTCTCTGAAATTCCAGTTCCCTCTTAAGAGATTCACACATTTTCTCTCATTGAACTCCTAGAAATTTATTTCCTCATCAACTCTTCTTCCAGTGTATGAAATTCACTTGGTAAAAAACTTCCCCACTTCCTCAAAATCCCATATTTTCTCCTAGTTTAATCTGTGAAATCAAATTTCCCCCTTCATTTCAGTTTTTGAAATCCCATTTCTTCTGAAAACCCTATTGTTCTTCTCATTCTTTTGACAATGAGTAATTCCCAAGCATCCAAATCAACGAAACATTCAAAGTCTTCAACTTTAGCTCCCTCGAAACCATCTTCACTCTCTTCCCACCTTGCAATGGTGGAACTAAAGCAAAGGATTTTAACCTTACTTTCCAAGCTTTCTGACCGTGACACTTACCAAATAGCTGTTGAAGATCTTGAAAAGATTGTCCAATCCATTTCCCCCGAATCCCTTCCCATGTTGCTCAATTGCCTGTTTGATTCTTCCAATGATTCAAAACCAGCTGTAAAGAAAGAATCTTTAAGGTTACTATCAATGCTATGCAATTGCCACGGTGAATTGGCAGCTTCCCATTTGACTAAAATAATTGCCCACATTGTCAAAAGGCTGAAAGATGCTGATTCTGGGGTGAGAGACGCTTGTCGTGATTCGATTGGAGCCCTTTCGGGGCAGTATTTGAAAGGGGAGAATGAGGGGACTCTAGTGGGATTGTTTGTCAAGCCATTGTTTGAAGCAATGGGGGAACAGAACAAAGGGGTGCAATCTGGTGCAGCGACCTCTATGGCTAAGATGGTGGAATGTGCTGCTGATCCTCCTTTGGCTGCTTTCCAGAAGCTTGGTCCAAGGATCTGCAAGCTGTTGAATAGTCAAAATTTTATGGCTAAAGCTTCCCTTTTGCCATTAGTGGCGAGTTTGTCACAGGTTTGGACAATGTAACTGATTTTAGCTTGATTTTGATCATGTACATTGTTGAACTCATAAGGATAGTGATGCTTTATGTTGTTAATTTTTGTGGATGTTAAATGGAATATCCAATTGAAGACTTTCAATATCTTAATTGTTTTACTATGTGCTTGTTTTTCTGGCTGCTGGTAATGTACATTTTCTTATGTTTGATCGTGGAATTTTGGTTGAATTAATTTTAATATCTTTAAATAATCTCACCAAAAAAAAAAAATTGAAGTTCTTTGAAAATTATGATGACATTGCTGCAGGTGGGAGCAATTGCACCTCAGAGCATGGAAGCTTTGCTGCAAAGCATCCATGAATGCCTTGGGAGCATAGATTGGGCGACACGGAAGGCAGCTGCTGATACTTTAAGTGCCTTGGCTCTACATTCAAGTAATTTGATTGCAGATAGAGCATATTTGACGATTACTGTACTTGAGGGTAGCCGCTTTGACAGGGTAGCTTTCTGGATTCATTTCTCTTTCATATAATGTTAACACACACTCAATGCCATATGTATAAGCTATTAATAGATAATCTGAGTTTGGACTGGATGGATTCATGCTCTCTGAAATAGTTTTGCATTTCGGTTGGCACGTTTTGATTCAGGAATGTTAGCGTTTCGTCCAATTCCTAACTAACCAATGTAACTCTTGCACTGTGGTCCTCTAAATGAAGTTGTCCCCAAGTGTTTTTCCTTAACTGTCATGATGCCATCTCTTCGAGTGGTATATGTATGGTGTTGCACTAGACTGCCATATTTAATTCTTATTGTTTTGAGTAATGCTTAATTATTGATCAAACAGATGAAACCTGTGAGAGATGCCATGACTGAAGCATTGCAATTATGGAAGAAGATTGCAGGGGAAGGGGATGCTGGAGCTGCAGATGACCAGAAGTCTCGTGGTAAGTATGTTAGTTATGCGTTTCTATGTTTTTTCATGTTGTCTTTATGATGTTTAATAGTTCTCTTATTGGATTAATTTACTTCTACTGCTGCAGATGGTGACAATACTAAATCAGCTGAATCATCACAAAAGAGTGGTTTGAAAAATCCAAATGTTTGTGATAAAAAAACAGATCCATCAGGAAAGGATTCATCTAACAATCTTTCCCCTACTTCAGATTCCGTTTCCCAAGGCAAAGGTGGAAGCATTCCTGACAAAGCAGTTGTAATTTTAAAGAAGAAAGCACCTGTTTTAACGGACAAAGAGCTGAATCCTGAATTCTTCCAGAAACTAGAAACAAGGGGTTCTGGTGATGTACCAGTTGAAGTAGTTGTTCCTCGTAGGCGCCTTAATTCTTCGAACTCGAAGAATGAGGAAGAATCCGAGCCCAATGATCCAGACTCGAGAAGAAGGTCGAGTTGTATGGGAAACAGCCAAGCAGATGATTTTTGTGCATCCTCTGGCAGCAAAAACCGTAACATTGAGAGAGGAGCTGCTGCTGCGTCGGATAAATGGCCCGAAGAAAAGATAAATGGAAAAGACCAAAGAACAAGGGCATTTGATGCTAATAACAGGATAGATGTAAATCAAAGGGAGCAATCTGGAAATTGTTTAGGTTACTCGAAGGTGGATGGACAGTTTGAAAAATCCTTTATCGGCAACAAAGGGAATTGGCTGGCTATCCAGAGGCAGTTATTGCAACTTGAGAGGCAACAAGGGCATCTTATGAACATGTTGCAGGTATTTCTCAGTTTTCCATTTATGGTCCCTGTAAGTGCTTTTTTTTATTGTTAAGATTCATCGCTATGTTGTAGGATTTTATGGGTGGTTCTCATGATAGCATGGTGACTTTGGAGAATAGAGTTAGGGGCCTTGAGCGAATTGTTGAAGACATGGCTAGGGATTTATCGTTATCATCAGGCAGGAGAGGTGGTAAATTTATGGCAGGGTTTGAAGGATCATCTAATAGACCTTTAGGGAAGTATAATAGCTTGTCTGACTATGGTTCCAAGTTCAGTGGGCGAGCTCCATATGGAGAAAGGTTTGCACAATCTGATAGAATTGCTCCAGGTGGGAGAGGAAGGGGATCTTCTTCGAGATCTGAAATGTCTGATGATTGGGATTTCGCTGCATTTGGTGCTTCGAGGAATGGGAAAATTCCATCAAGAAGAGCTCCAGCCAGCGGCGGCGGCCTGGATGGTAGATCACCCAAATCAGAACATGAGAGTGACCAGGTTGGTGGCAGGAGAGGTTGGGATAAGGGTCCCAGGCCTGTGAGGCTCGGTGAAGGACCTTCTGCTAGAAGTGTTTGGCAGGCGTCAAAGGATGAAGCCACCTTGGAAGCAATACGTGTCGCTGGGGAGGACAGTGGAGCATCCCGAACTGGACATGTGCCTGAATTGACTGCTGAAGCTCTCGGGGATGATAATGGTGGACCAGAACGAGATCCAGTCTGGACTTCTTGGAGCAATGCAATGGATGCCCTTCAAGTAGGCGATATGGATTCCGCTTATGCTGAAGTTCTGTCAACGGGGGATGATCTATTGCTTATAAAGCTAATGGATAAATCGGGTCCTATGGTCGACCAACTTTCGAATGAGATAGCAATCGAAGCCTTGCATGCTATCGCACAATTTCTTCTGGAGCCGGATTTGTTTGATATCTGTCTATCCTGGATTCAACAGGTACAATTTCTCAATCTGTGATCATTTGAAGTTCAAGTTGCTTTAGTAAAACATTATCTTTCTGAAGTTTCTTATTAGTTTTATTTCATATACCTTTTCAGCTGGTAGAAGTGGTGTTAGAAAATGGACCTGATGCATTGTGTATTCCCATGGAGTTGAGGAAAGAGCTTTTGTTGAATTTGCATGAGGCGGCTTCCACAACAGATCCACCGGAGGATTGGGAAGGCGTCGCACCTGACAAACTTCTACTGCAGTTAGCATCAGCCTGGGGGATTGAGTTGCATCTGTTTGATAAGTAATCTGTGACCGGTAATGAAATCATGTGTTCTGCTTGCAAACTTCTTGATTAGGATACTGGATCAGTACATTTATTTTACATGATTTTATTTTTCATTTTTCAAATGGCTATGATGGCATTGTGGTATAAATATAAATATTGATACATTCAAAGCTGGTTTTTGTGTGGCATGCAAGGTAGTGGCCTCTGATGTAAATGTAATCATGAATGATATACCTTTTAACCAAGAGATTTGTTATGAGGAGAGTTTTCTCCCTGTGTTTTAGACAGTTGAGCTTTACTCTTTTCATCTTGAAGACAACTTCTGTAAAAACAATATTCCATTTCATTACATCAATAAGCAATTATAAATTTACTGAAGCCTGCAATTACCATCCCGAATCTCATATTGCAACCCCCTTTATCCGAGTGTTTACCTGTGTATAAGCCTGCATCAAGATATTCATGTTAACGGTGAAACGAAAGGTCGTGTTGGGGCAGTCTTCTACAACTGCATTCAACCATGGTGGGAACATAAAATGATTACCCATAGTGCTGAAGCGGACAAGGCTTGGTAGTTGTAGGAGTTCCAATCTCTTCGGCTTTGGACGCACCTTATCCTCTTCTGTTAATGTGTCTGTTTCATCTTCATGTCCAAATACATGCTCCAATTCAGATGTTCCTTCTACTTTGAATTCTTCGAGTTTTGGAAGACAGCTCCGTGCTGTTCAATATTGTGACAGACTTTAGACGTTTGAAGCCTTACAGGATCGATAGGCGTTTCCATATGCCCCTCAAGCTGTGTAAAGAATTCAGCTCTAATTTAGTCCAAATTTGAAAGTAGAATAGCATGATTTTCCTCTTCTGTATGTAGAAGATTATACAGCTGAAATACTGCTAGCAACTTGGGACATCAATTCTTCCAAACTTTTTACCACTGGAACTGTAGAGATCATAGCATCACAACCATCAGCGGTAACCACATCCTCTCCGGAAAGGGCCACTTCTCCTCGGCTGCCCCCAACATCATACGTCTTGACCGCCGCAGAAAGCAATTCCATTGCTCCTTCAGTCCTTTCAGCAGGAGCAGCTGCACCAAGCTTGTCGCTTCTGTTTTTCACAGCAGCAGAGGTGCAAGGAGGCCAGAAACCAAATCCCAAGCTAAGTTTTTTTGGGACCATGACAAAGACAACGAATGATACCAGAATGAGAATCAATATATTATAAAGAACAAAAGCTTGATTTTTTTATGATGAAGAAGAAGATAATGGTGTTGGTGTTTTATCAAAATTTAGGGGTTAAAATAAAAACTAAACCCCTTTTATTATCGTGTATTCAATTTTCAGCAACAAAAACTTAATAAAACGATAACATAAATAATTTAAACTTAAATTTTTTAAATTTTATAATAAAAGTGGTATAAATATAAAAGATAGGTGACTATTCTCGTATAAATATAAAAGATAGGTGACAATTCTCCTAGCTTACCCATTTTTGTTTTGAAGTGTGACCTTAACCCACTTTCAACTCCCTTCATTTCTAAAAAAAGTGGTAAAATACACTATTCCTCATAAACTTTACTCTCTCATATATTGTATTTATTGTACTTTTAATTTTTTTAAACTACTCACTGAACTTTTTGAATTGTTTATATTTTAATCACTGTGAATTATCTTATTATTATTATTGTATGAGGTGAAATTTATTATTATTATTTAATATAAAAGAATTTAAAATATAAAATTAAAATAGAAGGTGGTTGGATGCTACCGTCGATCGTTGTAGATGGTGGTCATTCAATCTCAAATTTTATGGGTCGGTTCACCTTGATTCTTGAGTTTGAATCTGGTGGTTGTTTCATTGAAAAAGTTCACAAAACACGTGGATCTTTACTGCAACATTTCAATTTCCTCACTTTTGATCTCCAATTCGTGAAATTCAGAACAACTTCTGAAAAAATGGAGGTCAAATTCAGATTTAAGGTGTCGAGATTAAGCGACCCATAAAATTCGAGATAGAACAACCACCATCTACGGTGACCGAAGGTTACGTGAGACCACATTCTATTTTTATTTTATATTTTAAATTATTTTTACATTAAATAATAATAAAAATGTTACGTCATACGAAAAATAATAAAATAATTTAAAGGGATCAAAACAGTTTCAATTTCAAAGTTTAGTGAGTAAATTAGAAAAATTAAAAGTACAGTGAGTAAAATAGGAGAGAAAGTAAAGTTCAGTTAAAAATGATAGAATTTACCCAAATAAATGTACTATGAGTTCAATTTCTACTTCTCCCTGTCTTCCGGCGGTCTGCTAACGAAAAAAGGAAGAAAAAAAATTGATCAGAAAAAGGCAGAGAAAAGGGGAAAATGAGAAGACGACCTGGAATCGGAGGCCTTCAAACAGCTGCTGCTGCTAGGGTTTTCTTTCACACTCATTGTGATCTTAATTACGATTCTGCTAATCAGTATCAATTACAGCCTCTTCCCGTTAATGTTTGTGTAATTTATTTTTCAAAATTTTAGGATCAATATCGATTATTGGGAGAAAATGTAGCCAAATTACGAGCCGATCTTATGAAGGAACAGCTTGCTACCTTCCGTTCTCAACTCGAAGAATTCGCTCGAAAACACAAGGTTATAGAAAATTCCTTTCCAGTTTTATTTTTCATGATTTTGATAATTTCAGTTTTTTCTAATTTCTACTGTATTTTTCGCAGAACGATATTCGTAAAAATCATTCTTTTAGGACACAATTTCACGAAATGTGCGCTAAAGTAGGAGTGGATCCTTTGGCTTCAAATAAGGGATTTTGGGCTGAGCTTTTAGGGATTGGTGATTTCTATTATGAACTTGGTTGGTAACAAAATCCTTATCTTTTTAGAACAAATATTAATCGGAGAATTTCCCGTTGTCTTCAAGATTTTAGATCTTCCCTCTTTTTTTAGTGTAATTTGATGTTCTTTATTTTGAGAGCAAAGTTATGATCTTTATGCTTATTTTTTTGGGGTATATTTACCAATTTCTGTTTGGGAGTTCTATAATTGTGAAATTTATATAAATATAGATAATTTACCTGCAGGCTTCTCTGCATTTTGGCATGATATACAAATTCATACACCACTGTTTTTTCAAGTTTTTTCGTGAATTCTAAGATCAACTTCACAGTTTTAACCTTAGCATGGAAGAGATTCATTTGTGTCAAGATTTGGTTGAGTGCTTATAATGGGGTATTGGTATTTGGCTAGACAGGAGTTCAAATTGTTGAGATATGCTTGGCGACTCGGCTCCTTAATGGAGGTTTGATCGATCTTCAGGAACTCTGCAAATTGCTTCGTCAGAAACGGAAACATGATCGTGAAGCTGTTTCTGAGGATGACTGTTTGCGTGCTATAAGTAAGCTGAAGGTATGGCACTATGAAGCTACTTCATATTTGTTTTATACTGCTTATTGAGTGAGTTCACTGGCCTTGCCACGTTCCCATTTTCCCTTTTCATCTCTTAGGATGAGTGAGAGGATAAATTCCTTTGTTTTGAGCGACACGTTTGCTTGAACAGTTTTGGACTCGTTGGTGCCATTATTTCTGCTTGCAATTCTGACTTCCTATTGCATTTGTCTGTAATGGAATCGTCTAATGCAATTTATATAAATTTATATACTGCCTTTTTTAAATACAATTATTGCTCGAAATCTCTAGATATTAGATAGTGGATTTGAGGGGATTTCTGCTGGAAAGAAAAAGCTCGTCCGATCGGTTCCAACCGAGTTGAAGAAAGATCATAATGAAATTCTGGTGCTGGCACAGGTTACTGGTTCTTCTATTTTATATTTTCTATCAAGCACCAAACGTGAATTGTGTTTCATCGATGTTCTACTTGTTTCTCTCTCAGGCTCAAGGCTATGCGACTGTACATGAGGTAGAGAGATGGCTTTCCTGGATGCACGGACGTGCTATCGATGCCCTTGATACTTTATTAGACGTACAGTTCTTGCAATCGATCGACACGTATTTCATCTTACTATGGTATTTAGATAAGCAGGGTTAACAAAATCCGTGTTGTGAGATGCAGGAAGGTCTTACAATGATTGATGACGGTCATAGAGATGGAAGACGTCGATATTGGTTCCCCTGTGTATCCTCCATCTCCTCATTTGGTGTTTGATTCGTGTGGTAAGGTTAGAGATATTTGAAGCGGAATCGAAAAAAAGAAAGAAAAATGATTGTTCCTCAATTGAAGCTTCCAAGCAAGGCAAAGAATCATGTTTGTTATGAATAAGTGAGGTTATGTTGTTGCAGCAAATGTGTAAACTCCTCTTTTACAAGTAGTTCCTTCAAAGGATCTTCTTCCTCAAAAGTCTCTTGCACCTTTTGTACATGCTCGTCCCTCTGTAAAATGTTATTTTTTGTTGCCCTTCCTGTTTTCAGTACCGACCTGGGTCACACACCTGATTTTGGTAGATGAGTCTCACAATAGGGATTTTTGTATACTCAAAGGCTCAAACTAGAGATCTATTAACAGATATTAAATTGTTTATCACTTGAATCGACCCTCGTTGGTTATATAAAATGTTCATTTAAGCTATTTTATGGATACATTTTGAGATCTAATATGCTGACGTGAACAGTAAGAGAATTTATGTAAAAATAGCTGTAAAAAAACTGCCTGATATTCATGTAGCCATTCATGTAAGAATTGCATCAAACCACTATAAATCTGATCCCATTGGGAAAATTAAGTGAACCATTCATTCCAAGAACAAATTTGAACTTCAAAAGCAGGAAATTTCTACAAAAGCAACATAATTCTGGGAAAAAACCAGAGTTCTTTCATATGTAACAGTCTAATACTTCAGATTCATACACACTCAGAGTACAACACGTGTTATATAATTGAAACTTTCCAAAGCAGCCAAGATTCTTTCATAATTAAAACTGGTAATCTCGGTGTAACAGTGTTATTCAGCCTTGGCCGGGTAATGATTGCCGCCGGTGGCGATTTTGTACAAGTAAAACCCAGTCATAAGAGCACTGCAACCAAATGCAACATGAGTTAGACAAATGTTAGCAGAGATTATCTGAAACTTTTGCATCGGAAACGGGAGCACTATGAATCACCGAACGGGAATCAGGCCGAGTTATATGCAAAACCAAAGGTGGATCATAAAAAGACATGCACGTCATGAAAGAATCTGAAAATCAAGAGACTTGTATACATGGCATTGAAATGCAGCATGTTGTTAATATGCAATAGGTATGAGATAAACCGGACAAGGGGGTTCTACAACCGACGCCATCGAAAGGAGCCATTCGACGGCACACAACCGAGCACTTAAGGTCTTAATCATGTAACACATTTATCCATATTCGAATATTGTTAGCTTTAGAAGAACTTAATGAAAAGATCATCACAGTAACGATATAATTTGGTACATCATATGAAGGGTACTGAATATACATTAACAGGAGAGCAGCATACCTTATTCCGGATACAACTCCGGCCGGCATAATTTTAGACGTTTGGTAATAACGTTGTCCCATGATCCATGTCAGGGCAGCAGCAGCAACTGATTTAAAGGAATATAATACAGATCAATAAAAAGAAGAAACATTGCCATCATTGAAGGGGAAGATCGCAAGCAATCAGACAATAGACAAAATCAACTTTCATCAACATAAAAAAGACAATTTTCTTCCCTAGAAATTCAGCAAGAAAATAACATCAACTTGGATAAAAAAATATCCGATCTGATTCATGATTTCCACAATGTAACAACATCATCTAGGATCAGTGATCCAGAGAAGTTATAAAAAAATTCACTCCCCCAAAATATGAACACCAAAAAAATCATCTATTACCTAACTACAGATTATAAGGGTAATTAAACAAAAACCCAGATCAAATTTACAACAAAAAAAGTTTATACAAAAAAGATGAAAAGAAAGATGGGATTTTGAAAATTTACCAGTCTCGAGAACCAAAGCGAAATAAGAGTTCTTCTTCTTCTCGAAAGCTTTAAGGCTCAAATATCCAGCAAGAATGAGAGTCAATCCAGTGCCTACACCCCCAGCAAGTGATGCCGTGCTCCCTCTCTTCAAATACCCAATAACTCCTCCGGCCACAAGGATCAATCCATAAGGGATTGTGAAGCAAAAATCATGCATTTTGGGTAAAGGGTTTCTCTTTTTCTTTTTTGCTAGAGAAAATTTAGGAGTAAACTTGAGTTGAACCGATCAAAGGGGAAAGAACTGGAACAACGGCAATGGGATTTGTGTTTTGAGTTCAGAATTTGTAGTTCTTAAAGATGGACTTTTTCTGGCGTGTGGAACATTTAATTGGTCAAACCTCAAAGCCACAAATTTTCCCTTTAAATAATAAAATTAAAGAAAATAACAAGTTGAATTTATACAGGATTCCTCAATATACTACGTGTCTCCGTTGTAAAATCTATCGTCAATAATAAATCAAGAACTATCTCTATAATATAGGTCGAATAAAATTTGATTCGAAAAAGTTTAATTTTTTTAATTCAAATCAATGTCAAAATATTTAATTTATAATTTTATAGATTTGATCGGGTTTGAAAAAATTCAAATAAAGTTTAAGTTATAAAATATAATTCAAATAATTTGAATAATTTAGAATTTTTAAGAATTATTATTTGTTTTTTAAGCTCGAGTCAAATCCTTCAATTATGATCTATCCAGCGTAAAACTCTTTTAATTTTATATTAAAACTCGAACAAGTCAGTTAACAAAATTCAAATAAAATTTAAGTTATATAATATAACTCAAGTAACTCAAAACTTTTTGACTCGTATATTTATGATTTTATTTCTATTGTCATTCTATCTCATTGCAACACATTTTTTTTATAATACTAATAAATATTATTAACAATTCGATGGAAGTGTTCAAAATAATTCTTTATTGGTTAGATATATTTATGCACGAACAAAATTTTAAATTATTTAATAATATTTAGATTAAAATTTATCTTAAATTATTTATCAAATATGATTTTTTAAAAATCACCTTAGAGGAAGAAAACAAAGATTTTTAGCATTAAAGTAATCTTTATTCGGATAGAACTGTATTTGATTATATTCTGACGATAATGATACCGATGAGATATAAAAATCCTTTTAATCGATGATAATATAATATAATATAATATAATGTAATATAATGTAATATAATGTAATGTAATATAATATAATATAATATAATATAATATAATATAATATAATATAATATAATATAATATAATATAATATAATATAATATAATATTTATTTAGTTTATTGTTATGTAATTCATTCATTTACTTTTAATATTATTTCTTGTTGACGAAAACGGGTAAAGAAAACAAAAGAACACGAGAATTTTACGAGGTTCGGCAATGTGCTTACGTTCTCGGTGCCTAGGCGGCGCTAGAAGCTTTTATTCAATAATATTTTAGGTCTAGGTTACATCTCTATTTATAATAGAAAACCCTGGTACATAATTACAAAATTAACCATGTACCGTACCGCAGGGGCTGCGCCCCCGCACCCCCAACCCACATAATTCGTAACCCCACAACGAGACTTTCTTTGTAAGGACAGTTGATGTTCGCTCACTCCGCTCCATCTCCTGTCCTCTTTACTGGTATATTTATGAGCCATACCTAACAAATCTCCACCTTGGCGAATATCCTGCCTCTTGGAAAATTCAATGTGGGTTGGGTTACCTTGATTCTTTAACAACTCGAAACATTCAACAAGTCCAAGCAATGCTTGAACTTGTCTGTCGTAACTGGCTTAGTGAACATATCAGCGGCATTCTCATCAGTATGTACCTTCTGAAACAAAACCTCTCCAGATGCAACCAACTCTCTGATCTTGTGGAACCTTACATCAATATGTTTAGTTCTAGCACGATACACCTGATTCTTAGCCAAGTGAATAGCACTTTGATTATCACAAAGCAACTGAACTCCACCTTGTTGAACACCCAACTCCTTCACTAAACCAGTAAGCCATAAAGCTTCTTTTGCAGCTTCAGCCGCTGCCATGTACTCAACTTCAGTTGTAGATAGAGCCACAATAGATTGAACAGTAGACTTCCAACAAATAGGCCCTCCACCAAGAGTAAAGACATACCCTGTTGTAGATCTTCTATTATCCAAGTCACCTGCATAGTCTGAATCCACATATCCTACAACCAAAGGATTATCCCGCTGACTCCCAAAAACAATTCCATGTCCCACAGTACCCTTTAAGTACCGAAAGATCCACTTGACTGCTTCCCAATGTTGCTTACCAGGTTTAGACATGTACTTACAAACTTGACTAACAGCATGAGCTAAATCAGGACGAGTACATACCATCGCATACATCAAGCAGCCAACAGCATTAGAATACGGAACCTTTGCCATATCTTCAGCTTCCTTATCTGTCTTGGGGCACTGTTCTGATGAGAGCTTAAAGTGATTCGCCAATGGAGTGCTAACTGGTTTTGCGCTGCTCATCGCAAACCTTTCTAGCATTTTCTCAACATAACCCCGTTGAGATAGCCGCAGTTTCCTTGAGTCTCTGTCCCTGCAAATTTCCATTCCAAGAATTTTCTTTGCAGCACCTAAATCTTTCATATCAAATTCCTGACTCAATAAAGTTTTCAAACCGATAACATCATCCATGTTCTTCGCAGCAATCAACATATCATCAACATACAGTAATAGAAAAATAAAAGAACCATCATCAAGGCGCTTAACATAGACACAACAATCATACCCACATCGGTTGTAGCCAATCTTGATCATATAGGAGTCAAACCGTTTATACCACTGTCTCGGAGACTGTTTCAACCCGTACAAAGATTTCTTCAATCTGCAAACTAAATGCTCGTTTCCAGGTTGAGTGAAACCTTCAGGTTGCCGCATGTAGATCTGCTCCTCTAAATCACCATGCAAAAAAGCAGTTTTAACATCCATCTGCTCTAAATGCAAATCCCAACTAGCCACCAATGCAAGTACTGCTCGGATTGAAGTGTGCCTGACCACAGGAGAAAAGATTTCATCATAATCAACTCCTTTCTGCTGTGAAAAACCCTTCGCTACCAAACGAGCCTTGAACTTCTCCCCCTCTTTTTCTGTTACTACTGGTTTCTTCTTATACACCCATTTGCAACCAATCGGCTTCTTACCCTCAGGAAGGGGAACTAACTCCCATGTGCGATTGTGATTCAAAGACTCCATCTCCTCAACCATGGCTGCCATCCACTTGTCGTTTTCCTGACTAGTAACGGCATCATGAAAAGTAATCGGATCATCACTGCTAACAATAAGTGCAAAAGATACCAAGTCTTCAAAACCCAATCTGTTCGGAGGCTTTATATTCGTCCGTCTCACCCTGTCTCTGGCGAGACTATAATCCTGCAAATCATCTGTAGTGGAACCACCAGAAGTCGGTTGAGAAGTTTCTGGTTTCTCAACTGGAAACTGCTCGAAATCCACCACTGTCGTGTCTTGCTTCTGCTGCAACATGGATTGTTCATCAAAAACGACATCTCTACTAATCACAACTTTCTTCGCAACTGGATCCCAGAACTTGAATCCTTTGACACCTTTCTTGTAACCCAGAAAAATGCACTCCTTCGATTTTGCATCAAGTTTGGATCTCTCATCAGCAGGTACATGCACATAAGCAGGACAACCAAAAATCCGTAAGTTATCAAAACTAACATCATGACCAGTCCATACCTCTTCTGCAACTTTCCCAGCCAGCGATGCCCTTGGCGATCTGTTGATAAGGTAACACGCCATGTTAACAGCCTCAGCCCAGAAGTGTTTGGGAAGCCCCGCATTCAACCGCAAACATCTGGCTCTTTCATTCAACGACCTATTCATTCGTTCCGCAACACCATTCTGTTGTGGTGTCTTGCGCACTGTAAAATGCCTCTGAATCCCATGCTCTTTACAGAATTATATGAACTGTGAATCTGTGTACTCCGTACCATTGTCAGACCGCAAACACTTGATTTTTCGTCCTGTTTGGTTTTCTACCTCAGCTTTCCACAGCTTGAACTTCTCAAAAACTTCAGATTTCTGTTTCAAAAAATACACCCAAACTTTCCGTGAAAAATCATCAATAAAAGTAACATAGTACCTAGATCCACCCAAAGACGATGTCGTGGAAGGCCCCCATACATCATAATGCACATAATCAAGAGTCCCTTGAGTTGTGTGCTTCGCAGTCTTGAAACGGACTTTAGTCTGTTTACCAAGAACACAATACTTGCAAAAGTCGAGCTTACAGCTTTTGACACCATGCAACAAGTTTCTCTTGTGTAATTCTGCCATACCACGTTCACTAAGATGAGCAATGCGCATATGCCACAATTTTGTCGTATCATCACAGGACTCAACAGAGTGAACTCCACCTGCAACGGTACTCCCTAACAATCTGTAGATATTCCCTGCAGTCATCTTGCCTTTCATCACAGTCAATGCTCCTTTAACAATCCGAATGGTTTCCCTATCCTCGTCAGCCTTAGGGATAAAACCATTCTTGTGCAAAGTGCCCAAGGAAATCAAATTCTTCTTCAAGTCTGGGATATGTCGAACACCACTCAACGTCCGAACGGAGCCATCGTGCATCTTAATTCTGACATCACCAATACCAACAATATTGCAACATCGATCATCACCCAAATAAACCGAACCAGAATTAACCGGCCTGTATGTCGAAAACCATTCCCTATTTGGCGTGATGTGATAAGAACATCCAGAATCAAGAATCCAAGCATCCGTCAATTGTGTCGTTGAAATAGAAAGCATATCACCCTCACTGCAATCAGAATTATCATCCTCGACCACGTTCACAGACTTGGATGAGCCATCACGCTTCTCATCAGTCTGCTTTTTCAACTTCGGACAGTCTCGCTTCATATGTCCCGCCTCCTTGCACTTGTAACAGTGAATCGTCTTCTTATCCCTGGATTTGGATCTGGAATTCCGCTTCCCGGACCCTGCCTTCTCTGGCTTCCGTCCATGATCTCGATTACCCTTGACATATAAGCTATCGGCTTGAGAGCTTTCCCCTGCATTCTGCTTCCGCTGGTTGTGAGCCAACAAGGCTGCAGTAATCTCCTCAACATTGATAGTCTCTTTCCCATATGTAAGAGTAGTCACCATGTGTTCGTAAGAGGGAGGCAACGAACACAACAGAATCATCGCTCTGTCTTCATCCTCAATTTTCACATCAAGCCGAGCCAGATCAGAAACAATTTGATTGAAGACATTCACGTGTTGCGCCAAATCGTGATCATCCTGCATCTTCAGCCCATACAGCCGCTGCTTCAGATACAGTTTTGTCGTTAAGGATTTGGACATAAACTGACTTTCCAACTTCCTCCAAATTTCGTCTGGAGACGATAGATGCATGACGTGATACATGACCTCATCCGCCAAGCATAATCGTATGGTTCCTGCCGCTCGCTGCTGCAATTCTTCCCAATCTTCCTCATCCATCGACGCCGGCTTTGTAGATCGCAAAGCCTTCAAGATCCCTTGCTGCGCCAATAGATCATTCACCCTCGTTTGCCATAATCCGAAGTTACCCTGACCATCGAATTTCGCGACTTCGAATTTTGCTCCTGACATCTGATACCCTAGTTTTAAGGTATGTTATTTGTATTCTATAAATAATATTTTTTATTATTAAAATTTTTTAGCAAAATACGCAAAATTTAGTAAGTCTAAGAAAAACTTCAAACATAAAAAAATGTTAGTTTTTGTTTGTTTAATTTCGTCAATTTTGAGTGAGTTATGTTAAAAATAAACCCAATAAGACAAAAAAAAGATTGAAACGTGAATATTTTGGTATTCATTTTTCGTGAAAATGATCAGTGACAGATGGTGATTAATTGTTGACGATTACTGAAAAATATAGTGTCAAAAAATAAAATATTTAAAAGTTTAGTGACAAAATCAATATACTCATATTCAAGGCGTTGTAGGTCGAAGGAGCATTCCAAGGCGTCCTCGTTAATTTCGATGTATGGGGCATCAATCGTTATTGAAGCGATATTTCTTCTTCATCCCCGATGCTGACCAGCTTTCCACCAATTACGAATTTCACCTTCTGGTGTAGAGACGAAGGGATTGCTCCTGCAGAATAGATCCAGGGTCTCCCCAATAAACATTTGTAGGTCGGGTGGATGCCCATTATAACAAAGTCAATGTTGTAGATAGTAGGTCTCATCTCATCTTTTTGGGTTCCATCAAATGCCCTGACAACATTATGGTAAGCTCTCATGTGTGAGCAATCTACGGGCAACCTCTTCAGCGTAGTCAAAGGCATCACATTTAGCGCAGACCTATTGTATATTAGGACTCTTGGCAAAACATGGTCGTGTCAGTGAGTAGTGATGTTTAAAGCTTTGATGGATCCCATCCTACTTTCAAGGATCTCATCATCAGTGAATATGATGTCATTGTCTGCAGTTATACGTCTTGTAATTCGGTCTAGCTTATTTATCGATATATCCTCACGGACAAATGTTTGGTTTAGCACCTTCAGTAAGGCGTTCCGGTGCACCTCTGAATTCATTAACAAATCTAATATTGAGATTTTGGCCTACTGTTTGTGAAGTTGCTCCACCACGTTGTATTCACTGTGCTTTAGGAACCTTAGGAATTCGCGAGCCTAAGCCTCAATCACTGGCTCATTAATTACTGGTGGAGGTTCCTCATTAAAGATCTCGGCACTGTTGCTACCTTGGCTTCGGCTTTCGTCTTATTTGCCTCTATGGACATCTCGGGAGAGTAGCATCTCATGTTCCTCGTGAAGTGGCCTACTTCACTCACATCTTCTGTGATTGGTTTCTTATGTTCCTCTATTCTCTCAGAGGGTCTCGACCCTTCTGGCAGGGACATATTTGCAACATAATTCCAAGGGACCTATCGGGTGTCCTTAAACGGGAAAAGAGATGAAATTGTAATTATGACTTTCAGAGTTGTTGGTGACGAGCTCTCATTTGTGGGCTTGACCGTGATGATCACTGGTTTTCTTGTTCCTTGCGTCTCATTAGAGCCATTTGTCGTGCAAACATCCATCTTTCTTTTGCACTCCTCTTGATCAAAGAGTTTTGTCTCACCATTGTTTATCATCTCCTAAAGTAATTCCTGAAATTCATGGCAGCATTGAAGCAATAGTCTCAAATTAGTCAATGCATTTTACTCATTTCCAGAGTTTAAAAAACATATCTTGAATGAATATGCGTACGCTACAGATTACAACAAAGATGATATCAACTTATAAGAAACATTGGGTGAGGAAGACAACTTCCTTGATTAAATCCGATAATGAAATGACAATGATTTCGATGATCGATAAATGTTACCTCATTACAATCTTGTCATGCATGGAGTTCTTTTGCGATCAGATTATCTCGGTTTGAATTTCTTGTCGAAGTTGTCGACTGTTTGAATCTATGTAATGTTATACCCTCCAATATAACGATGATACATGTTGTCTCTTATTTGTAAAATTTAAACAATATATTAAACAACTTTATCAAAATATTATTTAGATTAAATAATGATTTATATAACATTTTTAATGAAATATAAATTAGGGTTGGATTAAACACGCGACTTAAAACATAAATTAATAATTAACTACTATATAAAATTAATAATTTTTATATGATTAAAACATAATATTTAATTTAGATTATTGTAAAAAAAATTACATATTTCATTAAATTATAAAAATATTTTAGTAAATAATAAAATAATGATATTTTAAAAATAAAATTTTATATTTTATATTTAATAATTAATAATTAAATTATTACTATAATAATTTTAAAGGTAATATCTAACTATTGAATTTTATTTTTTAAATGTGTGTTTTTTTTTATTTGCTTATAATATAAAATATTTTAGATCGACCGAAGAGTATACCGAAGTCTACTTACAACAATGTCCAGTAACTAATTTTATGATTTTATTGCTTCGATTAATAACTAGTCAAAATAATAAATATGAATTAGTAATATACCAATTTTATATAAAATTTTAAATAATTTAAACATGATTACAAATATTATCTATATCAGACCAATAAACGCATCATTTCTTCATAATATACTTCAATTACATACGTAAAATTAAGTTATTATTTTATGTACTTCAATTGAAATTTGGTTTTCTTTTTAATGATTGAATCTTTGACGTACTAAACTGGTACGTAACACAGGACAAAACTAGATTTGTTGAAAATGAAAAAAGGGTCGGCTGTGTAATGTTGGGGATAAACTAATACAAATTCAAAAGGAGAATCATATGGTATTTCATGAAACTTATGAGTGCATCGAGTTCAATAACTTGAGAGCAAGTTCTTCTTGTTCTGCCAGAGAAATTGAATCAGCATCGACACCAGCCGGATCACCCTTAATCTCTTCCTTTTCATCTTCACTATCACTGTGGAAGTATATTTTCGACCTTTTCCGTTTTCTGTTTGCATCTGGTTCTCCCGAGTCGGAAACATCGTTGTCCTCTTCGTCGTCCTCCCTTTGCCCTTTCTTCAACTTCATCTTTTTCTTCATCCGTTCCTCCCTAAGCCGTTGCTGCTGTAGAAGCTTGTCTCCCTTATCCACCTGCTTCAGCTCTTCCCTCATCTTCTTGTAGAACTCATTCTTTTTGTCTGCAATATGGAAATCATGGGTTAAATGAACATCAACGAGCAAGCATCAAAATTCAGAATGGCATAGCATATCATTTAAAACCATTAAAAGGTTTAGTTGCGAAAAGAACTTTATGCATCCAAAGATTACAGTTTTTTCTGCTTATTACATAGCGAAAGAACCGGAGATCAAGTGAGTAGCCTCTAAACTATGTTACTCCGAATCAATTGTGAATATCGAGCACAGGTATGTGTCTGACACAGATATATTAGAACTCTTTGAGTATTTCAAGAAAAATGAAAGGTCCAAGCAAAATAAGCCTGTAACTTCCGATACACAGAACTGATAATGTATACCTTGGTCAAGTTGTATCTCGCCGCTAGTCTTCTCTGCCAACATGGCAAGTGGAGCCTGTGTGTTGCCTTCCTCGTCAAAGACAACCCTTGTCCCCACAGGCCTATGAACATTGATCTTCAGCTTCTTTTTCTTCAAAACCCGTGTTGCAGGCCTGAAGAAAAGAAACCCAACTCAAGAACCAGTTCTAGTAAAGGAGTACGAGTACAAATAAAAAGAATCATAAAGGTACTAGGGGGTAGACGCAATTGACTAACGTAAACTGATCTACTTATTCCAGAGGTAAAAACAGACTAGAATCTCTGCAAGTTACCACCTAACCAGGTGATTCTATGAGAAAAATCAGCTATATCAAAAGAATTTACCATTCAACCAACCTAGTATGTAAATAATTTTTTCCATTAATGCAAGGCAAAAGAGTATAAGGGGCATACATGATATCTGCAATCTCACTAGCATTCCCTTCTCCGACGTCCGGTGTATCCTTCAGAAGGAAATCTTTGTCCTCTTCGTTGTCTTTGGCATCTTCAATAAGTAGCTCTCCCTTTGCGATAGCTGACTCATTGTCCAAGTCAAATGTTTCAGATTCAATAAGAGTGGATTTTTCTGACTCGATTTTGCTTTTCTTTTTTCTATTCAAGAACTTGACTGTGGGGGTCATTGGTAAAACCAAGCGATGCTGAATAATCATCAATAGGCAATTTCATCACATCAAAAATCTCTTTATCTTTTTTGAATATAAATAGAACGCAAATATGTGATGAAGGCCCTCTCTGCCAGCTGCAGCAAATTTGGATATTTAACTAGTAGAGTCGGCAATAGTCTAGAAACAGGCTCTAACCTCTTTGTATTTGCCTGGGAAATCCAGTATAATAATTGTAAGGTTAGCGTACAAGTCACGTATATCAGGACATGATTCAGGAAAGGAAGAAACGATATTGAGATTAATCTACCTTAATAAACTGTATAGGTACTTTTGCTGCCTGCAACTTTTCAAGCATCTTCATTTCTGAAGGCATCAGAAATAAAATTGACCTTCCTCCGGAAAGGTAACGAGCAGTACGACCAACTCGGTGTATATAGGATGCAACATCTTCCGGACAATCCACCTTTAAAGACAAGAAAATAATCTCTTTAAGATGATGAAATAAAAATTGCTTCTATTTTCTATTTATTTTTTCCCCTTGAACAAAATATTTTACCTGCACAACCCAGTCAACCGCCTTGTTAAAATCAAGGCCTCTTGAGGCCACATCAGTTGAGAAGAGAACTGAACGAGACTCGCAGAATTGTGAATATATACCCTGCCTTACTTCTTGCTTCATCCTTCCATGAAGACACATCAAGGGTATTCCAGGACGCAGTTTCTTGAATGATTCGAAGACAAATTTAACCTATGATACACCATTTTTCACATTGTAAATTCATTACTCCCAAGGATGACAAATAAGAAGAAAAAAAGCACTGAAAATAAAATCTATCATGCAATCGTAAAGACTAAGAGCAAGAGAAAACCTTTTTCCCAAATCTATCCATACTAAAATTCCAAACCTAAAAAGGGAAAGGGGCAAGACAGAGAAGTTGCTTGTTTTCAATGCATTGCTGCTAAATGCTGTCAGCACGTAATAAGATGCAAATAAAGATATCAAAGTCCAAACAAGATAGCCAGACGTTTATTGACATTACTAACGAAGACCCAACATAAATCCCGTGCATTTTAAGCTTTTAACACTTGATTATAAATCCTTTAAACAGAAAATGTTACGTCTACACAACATAAATAATTCAAATATACCTCTTTGCAGCTTGAAAGAAACACAAGAATCTTTGATCTTAGATGTGCCTTTATGAAACTCCACAGCATGTCCAACTTTTGTTCAAGTGGAACGATTATTGCAGTTTGCTGTAAGCGATTGGGAGTGGCTGTAACAGCTTTCTCATGCACACTGATATACTCTGGGTCTTTCAAGCTGAGCCTTGCAAGATCCTGGACCGACTTTGTTTGGGTTGCAGAGAAAAGCAATGTTTGTCGACACTTTGGCAGCTGTGATACAATTGCAGTTAACGTCTTCTTAAAACCAATGTCAAGGATACGATCAGCCTCATCAAGGACCAAAACCTGTTTACTGACCAGAAATCACTACCCAAGTCAGCAGCTAACAGCACAGTGGAAAATATCAAACAAGAAATGCAGATACATGCCAATAAAAATAAACCACATTAAGAATACATTATATTGTGCTGTTGACCTGAAGCTGAGAACAATCGAAATTTGGAGTCTCGTCCATGTGCTGAAGAAGACGTCCAGGAGTACAAATTAGAATATTCAGCTCATTCACCCGCTCTTTCTCAAGGTCAACTTCCTTTCGACCACCAATTAGAAGGCCTGCACTAAAAGTATGATACTTCCCAACAGTTTTTAATACATCAAAAATCTGGCCAGCTAGTTCCCTTGTGGGAGATATTATGATGCTGCCGACTCCATCCTCGGGACCCCATCTCTCTCTATGCAGCTTCTCCAGGACCTGAAATAAACAATTTCAATAAGGTCCAGAAACAAATAACAAAACAACACAAATAGTATTAAGATATCCCTGTAAACATCTTTCATAAATTCATTTTACATCATCTCTATATTCAAAACCACATAAAAAATCAATACTGAACTGAATTACTGAACTTTGAGCATGATCTCAACCCAGCAGTGTTAAATTATCAAGTAAATAAATCTTGTATGCACAACTAAATGAATTCACTTAAGAGTTAAGACCATAACTAGCTAAAGGAAATATTCACTTCCCTTCAAAACTTCAAAATCACAAAAATTTCCCTTATAAAATTCTAATAAAAAATAATTCAACACCCTCATGCCGAAATAAAACTGCCATCAAAAGAAATAGTAACATTAATAAATGATAAAAAAAATTAGAAGAAAAATAGATAAGAGAAAGAACAAACCGGAATAACAAAAGCTAGAGTCTTTCCGGACCCAGTTTTAGCTGCACCCAGAATATCTCTTCCACAAAGTGCGTGAGGCAAAGACGCCACTTGTATATCAGTCATCTTCTTAAACCCGCCTCCCTCCAACCCATTCTTCGTCCTTTTTGATATCGGAAGCTCGTAAAATTTCCTTGCTCCGGCGTACCTCGAGAATGAAACGACGCCACTTTCAGGGTCGACGATTCGGCCGATTGGCGACTTGGATTTCAGTGGGTCGTGGGCTAAAGGGTTGGAACCGGATTCGGGTTTCTGGGATTCTATCCATTCGTTTAGAATATCGATTTCTTGGAACTCGCTGTTCTTCTGCTGTTTCCGGGCGGATCTCGATTTGGGTCTTCGCATTTTTCTTCTCTTTTTGGATAATTTAGTTTTCTATAGGGGGCGAGGGGTCGAAGAAGAAGAAAGTTGAGAGCTTTCTTCTGTTTATTTGATTCGGTGTTTTAGAATTAGGGTTTTGGTAGGATTCCTAGGAGTTTCGATTTAACGTTTTCGAAATATTTTTATAAAGCATGAATATAACTTTTGGTACCTAATTGTGACATTCATGTTCAATGTGGTTCCCTATTTTTTTTATGCAATTAGATATATAACTTTTTGAGTTAATTGTATCATATGTCCATAAATTATGACTCTTATTTTAAATTAGTCCTTAAACTTTTCGATATTCTAATTTCATCCTCAAACTATGACTCACTTTCTAGATTAGTCCTTAAACTTTTAAATCTTCCAATTTCATCCCCAAATTCATCCAAATATGTAATCCCTTTCAATCATATTTTAACCTAAATTTTATTTTTTAAACTTATAATAATATAACTTGGCCTAATGTTTTTATTAACAAAAGATGTGATTAGTATATACGTATAATTTAGGATAAAATTGAAATATTCAAAAAGTTTAGGGACCAATTTAGAATGAATATCACAGTTTGAGGATGAAAATGAAAGATTCAAAAGTTTGAGAACTAATTTAGAATGATAGTCATAGTTTAAGGATGAAAAATGAAAATGTTTAAAAGTTTAGGGATCAATTTGAAATGATGGTCATTGATTGGGGACGTTTGATGCAATTAACTAACTTTTTTAATATTCTTTTTAGGCACTCAACTTTTTTAATGGTACATTTAGGTATCTAACTTTTTTGGTGTAATTAGTTTTATCCACCTTTTACTTTTTGGTGCATTAAGTATCCAACTTTTAGTTTTTGCTACAATTAAGTAGTTAACTTTTTAAAACTGCATGTATTCATATTTAGAATTTTAGCGCTTAACATTTGAAGATATAATGCATATTATTTTTTAAACTGACAATGTTAAATTTATAAGTATGAACTACTCAAAATTGAACATGTGTAATTAAAAAATATTAGGTACCTAATTGCACCATAGAAAAAATTAGATACATAATTGAACAAAAAAATAGGTACCTAGATGCACCATTAAAGAAAAATTAAGTACCTAAATGCATCATTAAAAAGAGTTAGATACCTAGATGCAACATAAAATGATTAAGTATCTAATTGAACGAAAAAAAAAAAGGAAAGTAGCACAATCAAGTGAACACTGTCTAATATGTAGTATGGCTTAATGAAGGTGGCATGGCATATTACCTTTTGGAAACCAAAGCAGTACAAAACGAAGCATATGAGTCTTCTATTTTTGGGGAGATAAAAGTTTGTTATTAAGACTAAAATTTGCATTTATTCGACTGTTTCTCTATTTTCTATGTTGAATTTTGAGGATGATTATTTAATTTATTTGTGTTTCATTAGGTGTTGTTTTGAAGAAAGCAGAATTGACTAAAAAGGGCAGATGTGCCACCAATGTTGCGAATGGCAGTGTGGTAGAGACTCTTGTAGAGAATGTTGTGTATAGGGAGTCCCTCTTCCTTTTGATGGTTTTGCCGGAAATATATCTTGTGGTAATGAAGAAGCTGCTTCAGAAACTCTCCCTTCTTCTGCCAATCCACCGAATGAGACCAAGAAGCTCGATGAGTCTACCGTGGATGACAGAAAAAGAAATACGAAAAGGTAGCATGTACTTCTTTTGTTCTTATTATTTTTGCTAACATATATTCATTTATTGTACCTATCCAAACAGAAATTCAGCCCATAACGAGAATGGATTTGCTGATGGTTTTATACCCACGGATACTGGAAAGGAAGATGAAGGTCGAAAGTTGCTAGAGAACCCCATGGGAAATGGGAAGGAAGTTGAACCTCATAAAAGAGATGAGACACACGTTGAACAGGTAAAAATTTTCAGTTCAAAACTCTCTCTTAGTTAACCCTTTCTTCTTGGGGAAAAATGTGAAGCAGATGTCAAATAGATATTAAAGATACATTTTTATCTTTTTATTGTAAAAATTTTATTTGAGAAAACCTTCTTGATGGCTATTGGTTTGATTGAAGGCTTCCATCATTCCTACAAAATTTTACTTTTCCAGGGGAAGAGCCAATCATGTTGCGTAGCTCATATGATTGTTTTCTTCTTTCTTCAAGAAAACAAACAAACTATGAAGTAAACTAGCAGACATTCTATAGCAAGAATGTGAGTTATTGTTCAAGTGATGAGGCTTCTGTTATTGTCCAAACAGAAATTCAATGATATAGATAACATGGCGGCCATCATATTCATGATAGATTCCTTCCCAATGTGCCAAGAGTTATTCAATGTATCTCTTTGAATGTTTTATGTACAGTAATATTTTATCTTTGTTGTCGGATTCGTATCAATTTATTTTTTCTGACAGACAGGTTGGAGAGGGTAGGTCTCGGCTTTTGCAGGATGAACTTGGCCAAAAGTTTGAGCTTCATGTTGAACAGAATGTATGGTCTTCACGTAAAACCTAGAATTAAAGCTAATATTCAACTTACTAATGAGATTATTTCTACAGGAGAAGGAAGCTCAACAGTCAGTTTCAAGTTGTGAGTCTTCTGCTGTTGATACTCTTAAGCCAAGTTTTAAACCTTCCGGGTCTCCTTTATATGGAGAATAAAAGTTACATTAAATTGATAGCCTTTTGACTTATCGGCATCCTAATGACAATTAAGCTATTGCTTACTGGAACATGTCTTGATATTACAGTGGATGGTGAACATGACAATCCATGTTGTGAAAGGCCCTCTGCAAAAGACATACACCAAGATGATGTTTGTTCTGGTGTTTCAACTTCTAATCCTGTTACGAATGTTTCCCCGGGATCGTGTCAGAGGTCATTTGCTAATCCGACCGCCATAATCCCTCCACAAAGTTCGGAATTAAATAAAAACTCAAACGTAAAACAATTACATAAAATTTCACTTGTGAATTCTGTAACTCAGACTCAGGTATGAGTGTCAGATACGGGTATGGTTTAAATTTTTCTAATTTTCTTCATGCATTTCGAGAATCCTTAGAGGTCATTTCGTCCTATCCGTATTTCTCATACAAATTTTGGACACAATTACTTCAAGAAAACTGAAAAGTCCAAGCAACATTGCTTGTAATATCTAGCAGAGAGAGTAATGGTGGATTCCTTTCTCTTGAATGTCTATAATACGAGACTATAGTAAGGAGGTTGTCAATGCCTTAATATCTCATGATTCATGCCTTCGAGATGCGAGCCTCGCGGTTTTATGTTCCATAAGTGGCTACAATTTACTAAGTGGCTATCATAACACAATCTTCTTTGTCTGTGTTAACGGTTTCCTACTTTATTTATTTATTTTGTGTCAGGAATTTAAGCTCAATCCCGGAGCAAAAATTCTCTCCATCTTTTGCTACTGCCATATCAGCAGCTCCTCCTATAGTACCGACAGTCGCAAATGTGCCGTACATACCAGGCAACTCACCTATGGTGGCTGTTGCTGGTTCTCAGCCAGATGTTGGGATGGGCACTTTTGTGCCCCGCTCCTCTACACCTTCTAAGTTTGTCTCTTACGGCAACATATCAGCTGCAACTGGTGTCAATGGTTCTCAGTTTTCTCAACCCGTATGTTTTTTATAAGCTTTTGTAGTTCATTAATCTTAATCTTAGATTTTTTATTTTATGTTTCTCATTTTATCATTCAAAGTTCTTCCTCGAAGGACTTGAAAATTTACTTGGCCGCATTTGAAATTCGTATAGCTATATATATATATACACATTAGCGTTCTTTTGTTAAACCGTAAGCTATTCATCGATATTAATTTGTTTAGCTTTTAGTTGATTGCTGCTCAATTTCAAGTGCAACAAAAGAATTTAGCGTCACTTGGCTGTCTACGGATCATATAAGAGTTGATTAACTAATGTTGTTTTCATTTTTTGTGTTTAGATCGTTGGTCATATGGGGAATAGAACCCAATCACTTAAAACAAGCAATGCATACCCTAAACCATAACAAAACTCACACAAACACTCATACATTACATGCAGCAGAGAAAAAAGAACAGAATGGACACCAAAAACTGAACTAAAAACGAACACAGCAGCAGTGGAGAGTGTCTGAAAAGCAGCAGGATCCAGTTTCACCAAAACCGAATAAACACTACATAACACCATGACTACATCGCTCTTCAAAACAGCACGCAAAAAACAGCATACACATTCCATGAAACACTCCTTTAAATGCTCCAAAGAAACTGGCCCTACCAACCTTTCTGCTCCTACACTATTGATACCCTTAGACGTTCCAAGATGACCGAGTTTTTGCCACCACAAGACCTCCTGCAAAACACAACATACTCTCCCTACCAATAGTGAATTCTAGAGAACTATATGAAATAGCAAAACAAGACCATAGTGTGGAAATATAATTTATGAACAAAATTATTAGTGCCCATGAGTGTTTGTACAAATGATTGGGATTCGGAAATTTGAACATGTAAGGTTAAATTTGAATTTTGCTACCGTCATTCTTGGTGGGCAATTTTTAAATTTCTATGTAATTCTCAATTAGATTTTAGGTATATCCTGGTCTTGAATTAAGGGTGGTGAAATCACCCCTACCTAAGTTTTTTAGTACAAAAAAAATAGTTTTAATAATGCTTAATTAGAAAATAAGTGTTCAAAATATATCACTTTTTTCAAATAGGTGTCTACTTTTTTTTCGATTCATTCAAGTGTCTAAAGTTACAAACATTACCACTTTAAGTGCTCTAATAGTAACATCCGTTTAAAACATTAAATGATGTGTGTCACATTTTGGTAATTTTAAGGATTTTATTTTTTAAAATTAATATATTTTAAAAAACTGATTTTCTCTTAAATTACAAAAAAAAAACTAAATTCCTAAAAATCTTAAATCCCTAACTCGTCGATATCGTCCTTGTCAGCCATGGTCATCGTTGACAATGTCGTCTTTGCCAGTCACAGCCACCGGCCCACCATCACAGACGTCGTCTGTGTCATCTTCTTAGTCAGATTTCATCTTTTTCGTCGATTAGCCGTCGGGGTCACGTGAGGTAGTGATTTGTAGCGTCAAGGTACACACGTCAATTGATCGTCGATTGGCTCTTGTTTCGATAATTTTTCATGGGGTTATTGGTCTTCGAATAGAGGTTCATCGACAACATAGGTCGATATTCAGTGTAGGTTTAAGGGTTGAAATTAACGTTTTCCAAGTTTGGGTTTTTTTAAGATTTTCAAAAATTTTGGGTTTTTAAATATAATAATATTTAAAAAAATTTAATTTTAAATAAAAATTTTAAATTTCAGAACGTGACATGTATCCTTTAATAATATAATTTAACAGATCGTTACGAATGAGGAACCTAAAATGATAACGTTTGTAACGTTAAACACCTAGATGAATAAAAAAAAAGTTTAAACACCTATTTAAAAAAAAAACTATCTAATTTAAACACTTATTTTCTATTAATCCTTCTACTAATAATATTTCTCGTGAACCAAAAAAATGCGCTTAAATAAATATAATTTGTAGATACCAATATACTTTTTATTTTGAAAAAAATTATATTACTTTTCTTTTAGAGAAACTAAATTGGAATTGAATGTATACATATAACATAAAAGAATGCAATATTAATAATTTCTCAATCTCCAAATAGTATTGTAGTCATGTTGAGGTCATCAACATAAAGGGGAAATAAAGACATGGGTCCTTTGACTAACCAAATATAAAGCTGAAAAAAATTAATGGATTTTGATTTTTTTTTATTACTACATTATCAATGCTAGGTTTTGACCTATCTTCTCACAATCTTTGGTAGTTGAATGACTAAATGAACAATTTTCATGAGTCAGCTTACAATATAGTAAAAAAATAATTTGGGTAAATTATAATTTAATTTGACCTGTTAAATTATGTTATTAGCTTATATATTATGTGTAGTGATAAATTTAGTTGTTATTATTTTTGGTAAAAAGACATAACAAGTCCATGTATTTTTTTAAAGAGAATTAATGTTGCTCTTATATTTTTCTCTTTCAAAGTGACCTTTCAACTTAGAAAATAAACACAATGTGACCATTTGACCAATATTTTTTATCGTTTGACTACAATAGTGTTGACGTGGTAGTTCACGGTGGTGATATGGTGGTCTATGTTACTGACGTGGTAATTCATGGTGTTAATATGACGGTCCACAGTATTGACGTGGCAATCCATTTACTATGTTTGAGTTACTAATGTAGTCCATTTGTCATGTTATTCGTCACATTATCAATCATCGTTGACTGTCACATCAACACTGTGGACCATCACATCAGTACCGTAAATCATCACATCATCATCATCGTAACGATCAACGATTGGTCAAATGATCACATTGGACTTATTTCTGAGTTGAAGGACCGCATTGAGATAAAAATAAAACGATGACCACATTGATTTTTTAAGTACAAGACCTCTGTGCATTTTATCTATTTTTTATTTAATCATTTATAATTTTTTTGTTTAATTATATTGTTTTTATACCATTTGAATCAAAATTAAAATTTTAAATATTAAACAATAAATTAATTAAAATTATCAATTAATTATAGAGACTAATATACAATTTGCACATGATATAGATTAATAATAAAATTTAATTTTTTAAAAAAATACAAGTTAAATATAAAATATTACCTTATTAAAAATAGACTTAAAAATTTTAGTGGTGGAAATTTTCCTTCAAAACCTATTATCCAACTCTATACAAACAAAGCACCATGATCTTTCTATATACAAACTGATTGAAGAAAAAAGAAAAAAAACCCAGAGAACTTACTACTCTACTCTCCAGTTTTCTGTCACTTTCCCAAGAAAATCCCATAGAAAGAGAAGAAGGAAAATTCTGGGTTTTTGCGTCGATCAATTAACCTCGGGAATGCTTTGGAGTCTAGGCGTCCAGGAGCGTTGATTTGCTTGAATATCAAAGTTGATCAACTGTGCTAAAACCTGTTGCACTGATAACTCGTTTACATCAACCCTACCTAATAATTCCTCCAGCTGCTTCTTCGTTATCTTTACTTTCACTTCGCGAGTAGTAGTAGTGATTGCAGTCGAAGATGTTGTAATGAAACCATCCTTTTGTCGGTTCCTTACCGGACCCTTTTCCTTCGGTCCGGCGCCGTCTTCCGCCGCCGATGTTTCCCAGTTGTCGCCGTCCCATTGTGCTGACGACGGCCGCCGTAAACAGTTACCCATTATAATGTGTATGAATGAATGATCTGAGCAAGGAGCTTTTTTTTTCTTCTTCTTTAGCAACAAGAGCAAGGGCTTTGAATGGTAACAAGGGACGGGTTATATATAGGGAAAGGTAGTGAAAAAGTCAGACCTAAACTGAAACCACGTAGGATCACATGTTTTTCCACGTGGCTGATGATCATTCGTGACATTCCCCACCTACTCTAATTCTGCATGTGATTGACATCTTCTTGATTAATAATGTCGGTTAAGTCGGCTTGGCTCGGCTTAGCTTCTGCTGCTTATGAATCATGAAATTTAGGCTTGACTTCTATATAATGTATATCATATATGATTATAAAATGTCGTTTTAATTAGTATCGTAAGTTATAACATTATAGATATTTATAATTAAATTTAAATATAAATTCGAATAATTCGACTCAAATTTTATAAACTTAATTTAACTCAAAAAAATATCAAATAAAATTTGAGTTATAAAAATAAAAATCAACTTGACAAATTAATATATTTTTATTCAACTCAATTGAATATTCACTCTAAATTGGTGTGAAAGGCCATGTAAGTAGGGGTTCATTCAGTCGGTTCGGTTAATCGATCGAACTAAACTTTCAAAATTTTGATTTTAAAATTTCATCAATCAAAATTTTAAAAAAATCATTAACCATTAACGAGTAAACTTAAAATTAATCAATCTATTAATCAATTTTTTTGTTTGATTCAATCGATTTATTTGGGTAACCGAAATTTTGAACATCCCTACTCGGAAGCCATAGAATTGAATAAGAGCCAAGCCATTTTGGGCGATTGGAAGCCGAAATCCATTCATGTGTGAACGCGGTTAAGCGCCGAATCTAGCAGGTGTAAACGCAGATTACATAAAGGAATCTAACAAAACAAACCAAATATGCCATTTCGCTTGTTCACGTGACATGTTGTGCTTAATAATTCCGAAAAGTTTCAATCTTTATTATATAAAAATAATATTAATAAATTCGAAAAAAATATCAGTAAATTGTTTGAAACTAACCACTTTGATCCTTATAAAAAATAAAAGAAAATATCATGTTCAGAAAAATATTAAACAATTCTCACAACATAAGGTAACTGACTAAAAATTTATTTATTTTTATTAAACTAAGGTAATTGATAATAAAGTAATATATATTCTAAATACTCTCAATCATTTGACAATAAACGCTCAATTACCTTGTTATAGTTGTTGGTGCTCGAATTCATGAACTCTAGAAATAACAACGATTCATTTAATTATTGAGATAAATTGATTCGTGTAATTGACTAACAATTTATAAAATCAAATAAAGCATATGAGTTAAAAAGAAAATAGTGAAGGGTACAAAAAAAATAGAAGGCAAGCCCTTAAAAAGCTCAAAAAAAGGAGAGTCCAATTATATGGAAGGTTGGTGAAATCTAAGTTGCCACCTAACCCCACCACCCAATGTTATAATCCACCAAAAATGGAAAAT